TCACCATCAATACAAGACTTGTGATCATCATCAACCTCCTCATCATCAAACCACCCATTTACTCTCACTCCAACATGATCGATATAAACAGAAATTACACCATCAGTTCCATAAGCATTAAATATAAAAGTAGCGAATTCCACATCATCTGAAATGGGATTAAGCCCATCCATCAGGGAAAGGCCTGGTTCACAGTAGTACATCTTTTTAACCTCATCATGCATGAAATGTTCGAAGAAAGTGAAACACTCAGAAAATGTCATTGAAGAAAAATCAACATCATTAAACATGGTTTGACACCACTAGTGTAAGAGAAACGATTTCGAGCAAATACCTCCTGATAGTTGAGTTCCACCATCACAAACAATCCATTAGCGTCCGGTTGTGCCATTCCACCAACTGCTTTAATTCTTCAACTCAACCACAAATATCCTTGAAAAACCCTAGCTCAGTTTTGTAATTTGGTGATAAATAAAGAACACAGGTCGACGGGTGAAGCAAGTGAGTTTAAGTATCGACTGTTATATCATTAATTGACGTGGCAAATCCTACGTGTAATATGTTTACTACATAAACTAACTATTAAATGAAAGTAATTTACACCTAGACAAAGTCATCCGGGAAACTGTTTAAAATCGGGGAAAAAGACTTAGGGGGCATTTGAGATTACTTTTTGAAGGGAAAAGTCCTTTTTGTAAAATGATTTGTTGTAAAAGACATTTTTCCAACAGATGTTGTTTAAAAAGTGTTTGGGATTTCTTTTTGTTTTTCCAGCCTCAAAAGTTCAAAAAGACAGAAAGTCATGGATGTGTGACTTTTGCAAATGCTAGTTTTTATGCTTTGGTAAAAATCGATTTTAAAAGTATTTTTCTATTTACCAAACAACTTTTAGATTTTTCTAACATTTTTGAAAAGTTAAAAATCAAAATACTGATTTAAAAAACCAAGTAAAACATGACTTTAGTGACTTAATTGACGAGAAAAAAAAAAAACTTTAGTAATCAAATTGTTAAAATGAAAAAAGTTTGATCATTGTCATTATCCCTTTTCATTTTCACTTTTTAACTGTGCTAGCCATAAACATTTTAAAACAAATCTATCAAAAACTATAAGGATATTTTTTGCCAACTATCTTCGAACATTTACATAATTTGTTCTAAATTTTTTGGAATGGGGACAAACCCATGGTAAGGATTGTGAGCCAGCCGCTCAACACACACACAATACACAAACAAAATGTTTGCGTTTAATTGGGTCGGACCCTCTTCACCTAAACATTCTATTCAAGCCCCCCTGGCTTCCCTATCACGCGCTCTCACGCAGACAAACACTCACTCCCTCCCACCCTCGCCTCTAACACACACACACACACACTTAACTGTGAGCTCTTTCTGGAGATCCGGATTCATTTATTTCGATTCATTAAGGTATGTTAGTGTCATATTCAGTTACGAATTCAAATTTTGATGCTTGTAGATCTGAAATTCTGTAAAACAACTTCAGATTTTGTCGCGATCCAACTTCGTTGCTGAAATCTACGCCGTTTTATTTGTTAAACGTATACAGCGTTCTCGATCTGATTAATTATGGATCTTCATTGAGACTGATACTAGTTTTTCCTGAATAACCGGACGTTACTGTATTGTTGATTAGTTAATTCCTCGAAACTGATCAAATGTGTACTTAGAAATATCCTCGTGAATTCTATTTGATTTGTGTGGCGAATGTTATCAAGTTCAGGGGTAGAATTGTGTCGTAATTGCTTCGGAAATACACGTTATACTCCATACATGGGATAAAACTTGCATTAATTTTCATTTTTGAGGAGTATCATATTCATATCAATGTTTAATGTTGAATGTTCACATTCTTTTGGGTGAAATTTCAAGGTTAAATCCTTATTATTCCAACTTTTGGTACTTTTCAGAAGACCTGTGTGACAAAACCAGAAAGCTAATGTGGAATCACGAAGATTTATCATCATCAGTGTGCAGAGAATAAAACAACACTGAGATTTCATCAACATGCCTCCATCAAGTAAGGCTGATAAGAAAGCAGCAATAGATGCTGCAGCATGGATGTTCAACATCGTGACTTCTGTTGGGATCATCATTGTAAACAAAGCATTAATGGCCACATATGGTTTCACTTTTGGTAATTCTCTCTTCCTTTCACTTCAATCTCTTGAAATTCCTTTATAACTAATTACATCTTTATACTTTGTATGCAGCAACAACATTAACTGGATTGCATTTTGTGACTACCACCTTGATGACCCTTGTTCTTAGGTGGCTGGGCTACATCCAACCCTCACATCTTCCCACTTCAGAACTTATGAAGTTTGTCCTGTTTGCTAACTTCTCTATTGTTGGAATGAACGTCAGTCTAATGTGGAACTCAGTAGGATTCTACCAGGTATGTAGTAGTAATTAGTAAACTAGTAATAATGTACATAACACTCCATTCAAATTGGATGAATTCTGAATTGTGTGATTGATTTGCAAAATCCCAGATAGCAAAGCTGAGTATGATCCCAGTATCATGTTTATTTGAAGTTACATTTGACAAGATTCGATATTCACGAGACACAAAGCTGAGTATTTTGGTTGTTCTTCTCGGTGTTGCTGTCTGCACTGTTACAGACGTGAGTGTTAATGCTAAAGGTTTTGTTGCTGCTTTCATTGCAGTATGGACTACATCTCTCCAACAATACGTAATCTACTAATTCCCCCCTCTCTCTCTCTCTCTCTTCTTCACTTCATCTCTACCCAAAATTACAAATCAATTAACTTGTGATTTATTTGAATGTACATAATACAGTATGTTCATTATCTTCAAAGGAAATACTCGTTAAGCTCTTTCAATCTGTTGGGACATACAGCACCTATCCAGGCTGGATCCCTTCTACTTGTGGGCCCGTTTCTTGATTACTGGTTAACAGAAAAGAGAGTCGACATGTTTAAATATGATCTTTCCTCTGTGGTAAGTAAGAGTATATTTATTTTATACAACTGTAAATCAGTAATTGTTATTTAACAGAATCATGGTTTGATTTGTGTAGGTTTTCTTGGTGTTATCTTGTACGATTGCAGTAGGGACGAATTTGAGTCAATTTATCTGCATAGGGAGATTTACAGCAGTGTCGTTTCAAGTGCTAGGGCATATGAAAACGATACTTGTGTTGATTTTAGGGTTTATATTTTTTGGGAGAGAAGGGTTGAATGTTCATGTGGTGGTGGGGATGATTATAGCGATAGTGGGGATGATTTGGTATGGGAATGCATCGTCAAAACCTGGTGGGAAAGAGCGTCATGCACATTTGCTTCCCAAAACGAATCAACATCAGAAATATGGGTCAACGGGAATATTAGAGACTGAAGAAACAAGTGATAAGGTCTGATTATTGGATAGAATTAGAATGATAATTTTTAGTTAATACCCGGAATTCGTTTTGATTAACTTATTACTCATTATCATCATATTCTTGGAAATCGTTTGTTGTTTTCGTATATGTTTGTTTATATGGAGATCTTTGTGATAGTTGGGAATCTGGATAGTTATACATGAGTGTTTCTTTTTGATTGAGACAAAATTGCTTACCTGAAAAACCTGACTTAATGTATCAAGACACTAATTATTTACCTAGCTTCCTTTCTTCTTTTTCGCTTCTAAGTACTTAACTTGTTTAATGTTAATAGTTTACAATTTGATGGAAGTAGAACCAAAGAAATGAGAGAGGGTAACAATGAAGGAAAGAACAGAATCAGAAATATTGTAGAATCCGAACAACACTTTACTGAAATATTAATCTGTATGGAATGGACAATTCTCTAGTTACAAGAGTAAATAAGTAAATTCATTCCAAAAAGATGTTAGAAAAAAGGTTCTAAATATCAATGCAACTTAGATAATTTATAGGATCGTGTTAGAAGTACTTTTTGAAATCTGTAATTTGACCAAATTGTTTGGTGTTAAATGAATTCATAACTTGGGATAATCCAAGAAAAATAGAATACCTTGCTTTGTTTGATGCTTTGTAGACAGAAATTTGGCAGAGTAACAATGTTCTTAAATATGTACAAAATGCAATCCTTCTATGTGATACTTTTACTCTAGTATTTAAATGCATAATGTACAAGTTCAAACTGCAGGAAATTTAAGTTTAATACTTCAACTTTTTTATAACTTGTTCGTTAGTAACCTCTACTTGGTATAATATGTCGATTGCAACCCTTTATTTTGTAGAATGATATTTTTTATTCCTTTACTTCTTAAAATATAACTTTCACCCCCTTCGTCTTCAACTTTGTAAATATCATTTTCACCCCCTCCACCTTAAAATTTTTAAAATGTCACTTTTACCCCTTTATTTTCAAATATTTTATGTTTATTTTCGTAATGAAGAATGTATAGGCATATCAACGCATAAAGTACAACTTTAATCCCTTAACTTTGTATAATCCGTTATTTACAACTCTTTTATTTTGTAAAATAATTTTTTATTCCTTACTTTTAAAATATCACTTTCAACTACTTTAATTTTAACTTTGTAAAATACATAATACAACTTTTTTTTTGTGAGACAATCATATTATAGCTAAAAGTATAAATATATCCCATCCACCTTCAAGTTTGCATAAAATATATCATTTTAACCCATTCATTTTTTACTTTCATGTTCGATTTTTCCTTCTGTACTTTGTAAAATGCATTTTTCACCCTCACTTTTTTAGACACACTCCTAATACGCAACAACAACACATAAAAATCCCGCCGCAAAGCGCGGACCCAAATACTAGTATTCTACAAAATTGAACATCTCTATATATGTAGAGGGAAAAGTCGCAACTGGTTATCTTCAGTTTGAAATTAGAATGTATCAAGTTAATCCGAACCATATTAAAATGATTGATGGCTAAATGTAAAAATTTTAATAAATCATTCTAATATAACGGCAAACTCACACATTCCATATCTTACTCTTAAACTACTCATTTTGTCTTTAATGGTTATCTTAATGGTTAAAAAGGAAACCAACCCTTAACTTGCCAATAAATCTTTCATATCTGCAAATCCTATAAGAAATAAAAACATCATACTTTCACCTATATAACAAAAAGTCCAAGATCAATTTGTCAAAAGTAAAAACAGATTACAAATCAAAATACCTCAAAAACCAAAGGCGAGGTTGGTCTCTATTTATAAATAAACAATCACCTTTCAAGTCTATGAAAATAAATCAAGTTTGGGCATATCATATCATCACATGGTACTATACATACAACCATCAACAATCCTTAGACAAAAATCGGGCATCCCAATTCCTTAGAAGCAGTCTCAAGATATTCAATTGGCATCCCAGTCGCCATCCGACTATGAGCTTCCCACGTCAAACACTTTGCCAGGTCAGCTTCCCAATCGATGACATCACCACTCACATACGCAACATGTCTGCTACTACTTATATTAACTTGTTCTCCGCTTTGTTTCACTTTTATACAACCAACATTCAAAATAGCTCTAAGAACCGACACACTCAGGGTGCGCACATGAGCACTCGGGTGAGACAAACACCTTACAGTAGCTGGCACTCGACACTGTCACCAAAAAATATATACATATTACATTTTCGTAATAAATATTTTGTTTTTTTTTTATTTTTTTTTATTAAAGTTTATTTACCTTGAGAAGATTCGAGAGGCCATCTGCAACTGCCAATCCAGATTCTCCCCACTCCAGCACCGGCTGAACTGCTCTAGCTGTTGCTTCCAGAAGCTGAAACATATATATGTATATACATATTATATATAGATAAACAGATAGATAGATAGACAGACAGATAGACAGATATGACACCTCAAGTTGTGGTAAAGTGCATGCTTCACCATCAACAAGCATGCCATCAGTGGCGCGTAGGAGGAGGTCTAAGGCAGTGGCGAGAATCACTAATGACTCGAGATTTTCATGATTTCTCATTAACTCCACAATCAGCTTCACAATCCGTTGATTGATTCTCCACATTTTTTGACCAAGATCATCATCCTTCGCGATCCATGGCTGCAATTCCCTCTCCGCCTGACAAGCAAATATACAAAACCAGGAAAGTGACTTAACCAATAAACAAATTATCAAATTTCACAAAACGGTTTTAAAATAAAAAAGTTAAACAAAATCTGGACCTGAAGAACAACAGCAGTTGCAGCGGTTGTTGGCGATGCTGCCACCACATTGCACAGTGCATCAACCACCTTTTAAACAATCATCAATGATAAATTATTATAAGATATAGATTACAGAGTGAAGTATTTAAAAAAAAAAAAAAAAAAGATTAATAAATTACCTGTCTCCATCCTTGCTGAGCGGATGTGCTTACTGCATTAAGTTGTGTTTCAGGTGACGCGATCATCTTATGCCACAACAACGAAACAACAGAAAAACATAATTCTTGTTTTTCTGTTAAAACCGATCTCAAAAGAACACGCGCACTACAATTAAACCCAATGTGTCTATCCATTGTGAGAAAGTTGGCTAACTCTGAAGCATTGAATGGGAAACTCATTATTCCTTCATCCTCACATAACTTAGAAGCTTTCTTCACACTCGTTGCAACTGGATCATTAATCTGTGTGATACAACTACTTTGTCTTTTACCATTAAAACATGATGATGATGATGATGATGATGATGATGATGATACAGGAGGAGGATCCTTTATAGCTACATGTACAATATCCAGTGGTTCTGCTTTGTTCACTATCGATGCAACCGCTTTACTATGAATATCAATTAGGTTATAAAGCGAAGATGCTGTAGAGTGAATCTGTTTATCCCATTTGCACCGGATTAAAACTGATAGAGCATGTGTGCATGCTTTAGACCTTCTGAAAAGCTCGGATATATGAGCTGCCACCATAGCAGCAGCTACTATCTCATTCGAACTGTAACTCCATGAAGTCCCAACAGAAGACGGTTTTAAAGAAAAAAGCGCCTCCAGAATCGCAAGTATACGTCGCGTATGACTCACCGCAGAATCAATACTATTCTGGAATCCATTTCCGATTCCGATTCCATTCCCGTTCATGGATTTAACTTTGTGACTCGGTTTTTCACCGTCTTTAAGATTCGAACGGTTACTTGCTCGTGAAATCAACGGAAAGAGCTGAAGCTCGCACGCGAGAGCACAAACCGCAGCGAGAACGTAGGAATCGAACGCGGCGACAGGTCCTTGTTTGTTTGTTCTTTTCCGAGGCGACGATTCCGATTCCGGTTCCGGTTCCGGACTGGAATCGGAATGCTTCTTTCCGACGTGAAGTTGCGCTTCGTGACTAACGCAGACGGTTAACACAACAAAAAGTAATCGAGAAGATAGCTCGACCGTGGCGCATGATTCTAGAAACAGAGAGTGGACCATCGTGCGAAGCTCGGCGACCGCTAGATTTTTGGAGGCGGAGCCGAAAACGAATCGTGTTTTTCTTGTTTGTCGGGATGCTGACTCAGCGGGAAATGTTCTTTGGAGAATTGCTTCGACGGTTGCAACGAATATTTTCATGAGACATGCTTCTGATGGGCTTCCACGAGGGAGATATTCTAGAACTTTAAGGAGAGGTATGTAGAGGTTCCATGATAAGATAGGTGGTTGTAGAGGTGTTGCAACGATTATTTCCGGAAGATCGATTATCGAAGAACTTAAAGGAATTAATCCGTATGCAGCTTCCCATATTGTGCATATTCTCCATTCAACTTCGGGTCCATGTGCACATAGCATTGAGGCTATCCCTTGGGCTGTGGCTTCAATCGTTGCTTCAGCCACTGGCATTTGTCTCTGAAAGTATACAAATAGAAATTTAGTGACTATTTTGGAATGCCATATAAGAATTGATGAAAGTAGTTGATACCTGTTTTTTATGGCTTGAAATGTAACCACTAATCTGTTCATGTTGGACTTCACCACCTTCAACTTGTCTAAGAGGAGGAAAAAGCAAAGCCGGTTGAGACAGTATCCGGAAAAGTAAAGCAGCTGCTGAATCCGCTGCAATCCCAGCTCTCATTGACATTGCAGTCCCAATCGCACGCAAGAAGTGCAAATGCATCCAGTTTCTAGGAAGCTACAATTTAAAAAAAAAAAAAATAAAAAAAAAAAAAATCATGAAAATGGTGAAAACTAAAAGTTTGACTTTTAGGGTTTCAGGTCAACCTACCCGCATCCCGGATGCATAATCTTCAGCTGCTCTAAGAAGCTCGACTAGTTGAACAGCAGCATCGAGAGCATCTGGAGCCCATGAAGGTGGTGCTTCTAATAAGCCAAGAAGAAGTCTTTGAGTAGCACTTGGACTAGCAATAGCATAGTACCTATGGAAGAGTCTTGCATAAGGCTCTAAAGCAGGAAGCCCTGCAACAAGATGCTCATCCATGGCTGTTGTTGGAGGAGGAAGTAATAGAGCAGGAACAGCAGCTGCAGTTAGAGTAGCAGTTTCATAACGAGCAACTTCCTCATCACATACACTTAAAATTACACCTGCTCCATTAGCAACAGCCCATCTAGGTGTAGATGGCATTAACTGTGGATGCTTTCCAGATCCACGTGAAGAAGCCATTACTAAACACAAAATTTTACTACTCTGTTAATCGTTATTATCCTTCTTTCAAAACTTTTCTAAAAAAAAAACTTTTCCACTTACCAACAGAAGGTGGCTTCAGTTCCCCTGCAGCGTATTTTCCCATCACACCCCCACACCTACATATGTTAAATAAGTTAGAAAAGGTTATAGTAATGAAAACACACAAAAAGAGAGGTTTTTTTTTTTTTTTAATGAATTGAACAAGCACTTACCAACGAAAGTAGTCGCTTCTGATACCTAAAGGTGCAGCAAGCAATAAATCAGTGATCCAAGGAGACAGAGGCCTTAGTGGTTTCCTTTCATGTTGTCCAGATGGTGAAGAAGAAGAAGATTGAACATCTGTAGGGTTACTTGTTGATGCTTGGCTACCACTGCTGCTTCTATCTGTTTCCCCATGTGGGTGTTCAACTTTGAAAATTGGTCGATTGTAATGTGTTAATATTCGTAAAATCTCTCCACATGCTAATGCCCATTGTTCAGAATACTCATTCTGCATTTCAATTTTCAATTTTCAACAGCTGTATTATAACTAACTAATCTGGTTATGTATCGAATACAAAGTGTAAAGGGTTTCCTTACATCAGCACTTGGGCAGATTAATGAAATGAAAGAAGCAAATGGGGGAGTGCTTCTATCGTACTCAATCGTGCCATCAATAATGCATGAAATTATAGAATGAATAACAGAATGTCCATGCTCTGGGTGATGAAGTACAAACATTGCTGGAAATTGGAAAAACTTCAGATTCATTACAAAATACATCCTTACACAAAGTCAAAATAAGAAAATTTGAATATCCAAAATACCTAACACATCATCAAAGAGGCGTTTTTCAGTAGATGGATATCGATGACGAACCAACTGTAAAATAAAATATATCAGTGTCTAGTGACTAGTGAGTAGTTTAACTGATATCTGTACATGTGTGAGAGCATATTACATAATGATCAAACTACCTCAGCAATATCTTCAGGGAATTGCTCTGAGGTGAATTGACCCAAATAATCAACATATGCTGTGATTTGTGCCTGAATACAAAAGTAAATGAAGAAATCAACTTAATGAAACTAGAATTTGCAGTGATGCAAATCTTAATGGAGTGTGAGAATAATATGAATACCTTTCGTTGTTCTGGATCTGGTGGTGGGGGCCAAAACAGTGATGAGAATTGTAGACCATCGATCCACCTTTCAGATGTAGAAACAGCCATGGGAATGGAGAAGCTTCTTTCTCTGGTTTTGTGGTGAAAAGAAGAAGGTGAAAGCAACAAGCTTCAATTTTCCAGCTGCTACCAATCAAGAATGAGAAGATTGTAATTCAACATTTTTTTTATACACCAGCTGATGATGTGATGTCTCTTACTAAGCAGTTCAATTAACCACTCAAAATTGTTAACTTTAAAACAGATTTATTGCCTCTCTTAGTTGCCCACTTGAATAAGACTAATTTGTAGCCTGAAACCATGGAACAACCAGTATCAGGTAAAGTAGGGTTTACTGTAAATTCAATGAGAATCGAGAATGGAGGATCTGAAGTTGAAACAAGTAAATGAATAAAATGCAACAAAAAACACAACACGACTGAAAGAATTTGCTTCTATATAGCAAGACAAGCTAATTTTATTCTTATAACATGATTATATAAATCGATGATTAAGATGAGATGGAACAACAACAATAACAGCAATAGATGATAATCATAATAATAACAAAAGTAGTAATAATAACATTGATAATCGAGAGGATGAAGAATTACAAAATAAAAACCGAAAATTACACAAACCTAACACACACAACATGCAGAAGAAAATGCGACATAAATTGGAAAAATTGGTGCAGTAAAATCTAAGAAAACTGCCGTGGAAGCGTTTAAATTCGACTAAAAAATCAAATCCAAATTCAAGTTTTTCTAGTTCATTTACTAAAAAATAAAATCAAAAAATAAAAAAAATCTTCACCACAATTTCATTGTGGTAGTCTGTATTGTACTAACATGGATAACACATCACGACCAAATTAGAACTCATCTCCATTAACGACGCAAAAACAGGAAAAAGAAACACACACACATACACAACTTTCAGTGTAAGCTAAGTTGAGCTAATTAATAACTTCATATTAATATTGATAGAAAAGCAAACATAGCATCTATGTTAACAAATCTGAAGATTATTACATAAATTTGAACAAAAAAATACATAAAATTTCAATAAATAATATGTACCTGGTCTCTTAAGTTTGAGGGTTACAATAATCAGAGAGAGATGGATTTCGCCGGAAAAAGCTCCGACGTTGTGATTTACAGCGACTGTAAAATTTTGAGACGATTTGGGATTTTAGAGGAGAAGATTGAGAACAAAACAATGGGTTATGAAGAGACGGAGAGAGAAATATTTTATAAAAAATAGTTTTTAGAGAGAGAAAATAATGGTTTTAGAGAGAGAAAGTAAAGGAGATCTTTAGCTGCGTTGTGTGTGAATTTAGGGATCTAACACAGCGAACGTGGCAACGATATTTTCCTCTCGCCATAAGATAGCCACGTCGCGCTGGTCGCGTATGTTAGTATGCTATGAATATGAATGTCCATCACCATACCATGATCCTCATGCTCATGTATGATACATTATCGAAATACCAAATATGCCCTTTTGTCACGTGGCTATGGGGGGCTAAGGTTAGGTTCGGAGCATATTCGTAGTGGCTGGATTCTCAAAAGTGAAAGGGACTGGTTCTTAATTGAGTCATTTTCATTTTATTAACTGCTTTTAGATTTTAGATATTTTGTTTTTAAATTAATTTAATTCTAGACCTTGATATTTTGATTAACAACTTTTTTAATCCTTTGTCTCATATAAAATTATTTTTTTTAAAATAAATGTTAAATTATGTATCTACGGTGGTGAATTTAAAAAAGAAACCGCATGGTTTTCTAATTCATGTTTAATTGGACTCATTCAAAAGAAAATCAAATTTAATTTATTTAGTCGGTTCAATTGAAAAAATAACTGATCAATACACAAAACCACCACCCAAACAATTAAACCAAAACTATACAAACCTTATCTTTACTTTCCCTTATCTTCTTCATTCTATCGGTTATTGAACACAAATAGGATGCAAAACAATATATATATATATATATATATATATATATATATATATATATTAAAGTCCAAATATTTTCATCGATTTCACCAGAAAGTACTAAACTTTATTTTTTTACAGTTAAGTCCTAACTACCGGCAGTTTTGATACTTTTACCTTTTTTTCCCAGTTAGCCGGTAATTAGGATTTTTTTGTCAAAATAATAAAGTTTAGGATTTTCTTGTTAGGGTTTTACTATTAAAAATGTAAAGTTTAAGACTTTCTTTTCAAATCGTTGAAAATATTGAGACTTTAGTGTATATATCCCCCCCCCCCTGTTTGGAATTTAATGGTATGATAGTCTTTAACCATAAGAGTTATTGAAATCGGCTGTAGTCAGCCAGATCCTATTAAAATCCTTAACGTTTGCTTTTTGTTAAATAGTTTTTTAATCTCAACAAAACGATATTGAAAAAAATGGAGATGATCAAGAAAAAATCAGGGTTATGTTCGTTTTTTGCTGTAACATCCATAAAAATCATGCCAAATTTAATGTTTTTAAAACATTTTCAAAACCAACGATTATTACAAAACTTGTTTCCAAAATAATATAATGTCAGAATATCCCGTAATCAATCATAAAAACCATGAAATATGAGGAGTTGTACGATCACGCATTCGCCTTCCCACGATCATCAAAAGTACCTGAAACAATAATCGATAAATGTAAGTTCAAAGGCTTAGTAAGTTACCCACAAAATACCAACCATGTAACATATCAATAACATATAAGCAAACAACATGCATAATGAGCCTTCAGCATGACTAGATCGCCTCGCAGGCCTTCAGCCTATCTGGACCGCTCTTCGAGCCTTCGACACGTCTGGACCGCCTCGTATGGCCTACAACTTATCTTAACCTCTCATCGGACTTTCGGCCTGACTGAACCCCTTTGCAGGGCCTTCAGTTTATCCAGACCGCCCTGGGTATGTTGGCCTTCAGCACAAAGCAAGACCGCCTCAACCCAATCTCCAATCAAACAAACATGTGCACATAAATATCATACACTAGCATATATAACAGTCAAACCAATCTAACATATCACTAATCATATCAACATCCTATAACCAGGATACAAACCTAACCAGTCACTAACATAACATCATCCTATATACCATGATGCTGACCTAACCAGGTCACTAAGCATATCACCATCCTAACTACCAAGATGTAAATCGATAAGCATATCATGCAATAACTCGGATATAAATCCGTAAGGGGCCGGAATTGGTGCCTTTGACCCTGTTAGTATAGTGAGGACAACTCACCTCACAAGTAGTGCTGAAATGAACTGAAAGCCTCCGATCGTTGTCTTACCGAAAATCCCGAACTATCAAAATAATAAACACTAAGTCAATACATGGGATATCAATCTTGACTAAGGGTCCACATAATCCATTTTGTCTTTTCTCTTTATTGGGCCAAGACCCAAATGCCAAATCCATGATCTTAAAAATCCATATATCCAAGGCTCATTAATGACCCAATTTTCCCAATTGGACCCAACTTCCTAATTGGGCCTTATTATAGGATCCATTATCAAAACTAGCCCAAACTTAATTATTCTAAGAGTCCAGCAAGTCCCAAGTCCAATTAGTCCAAAGACGACCCAACTCCAAAGCCCAATTCGTCAAAAGTCCAACAGAGGGCGTACGCGGGGCATACTCCTCTAGTACGATGGGCGTACTTCCGTTTTGTGTTGACCACCATCGGGGTGGTTGACTCAGTATGCTGGACATACATAAACTACGCGAAGCGTACGCATGTTTTACCAAAACTCTAATGAGTGCTTAATAGCTTAAGCACTTAAGCCCAAACTTCAGATCCATTGACCTAATATGCCTAAGAATCATAAAGTCTTGAACTTTAACACTGTAGACGTACATAAAGCTCTTAATACTTGGTCTTTATCCATTAAGGCCTTCCTACTCCATGCATGAGACGCATTTATCTATTGGGACATCATTTTTATCACTTAGGGCCTCTTCAAGGGTCTGAAAGGACAACTTATCTCGTCCAAATCATATCATGCACCAACTTGGGACTTTATGGGACAAGAAATGGTTCCATAAAGCTATCATGGTAAGATCTATATCATACAAGCATAAAGTCTGAAGCTTTTTACCTTCCGGAGCTTGTAGGGCACAAAGAAACTTCAGATCTACAAGCTTGTCCTCTTTCTACAGCTTCTTGATGCAACACCTTCTTCTCCAACTCCTCAAGTCACACTTTATCGGCTCACACACTTAAAAAAGAGATTAGGGTTTGGGGAAAATGACTCAAAACTATGGAGGCTTAGGTAAAGGAGGGTTATGAGCTCATAAGGACATTTATATAGCACTCAAACCCTAAATATTAGGGTTTGCATTTGATGCGAGTACGCTTAGCGTACACAAGTGTACGCCCAACGTGCTAGGGTGTGCCTAGTACGCTTAGCATACTAGTCTTGTTCTCAAAGTTGCAACTTTAGCCCTTAGGCTTCTCATGGGTCGACTCTCTAACCCCATAGACTATAAATGACAACATAATAATAGAATAGAGGATTTGGAAATACATGCAAAATCTCAAGATGTTACATTTGTAGTCCTAAAAATGAAGAACTAAGAAACCGTAAAAAATGAAATTGCTCTTCTTATCCCTTCTCCATATTCACACTCTTATTCTTAAAGACTATCGTACCATTAAATTTATAACCAAAAAAATGATATATTCACTAAAGTCCTATAACAACTGTTAATTTATGGGCAAGTCAAAGTCAAACAAAGTTAACAATTCAAACCGGTCAACTCATATAGTACTTGTATGTTAGGGCTTCCTCTATGTTTACTAATGTACAACTCTCTATCTTAATACAATGTATCACTTGGAGGTTTCAAATGTTCACAAAACCCTAAACCCTATATACGGTGAGTGATGTAATAACTCGATAAAACATTGTTATGTACTATTTTGGGGTGTATAACATTCATAAAATGGCGTAGTAGAGTTTACGATCCTTAGCACTATGGGTCAAAACCTTAGTGAAGTCTACAAACGAAATCTCTCTCTAATCTCTCCCAAAATCTCTCCTAATCTCTCTTAAACCTCTTGGTAATAAAAATCACATCTTTTTCAACGTTTATATGAACATCCCTACCATCCCGAACCTTGCCATGGTCGAAAACAACTTAAAACGGAAGAAGGAAGTCAAAAAGAGGCCTAGAGGTTCGCAGATTAGTCTTCATAGATGACATTCTGGTCTACTCACGAAGTAAGGAAGAACATAGTCAACATCTACGGCAGGTCTTGGAAACATTAAGGGCGGAGAAGTTGTATGCAAAGTTCTCTAAGTGCGAATTTTGGATCCGAGAAGTGGACTTCCTTGGTCACGTAGTCAGTGAAAAAGGGATACATGTGGACCCTTTCAAAATCAAAGCGATCGAAAACTGGTTAGCACCAAGAACGCCAATGGAAATCCATCAATTCTTAGGCCTCGTTGGCTACTACCAAAGGTTCATTCAGAACATCTCAAAGATCGCTAATCCGCTCACCACTTTAACCTAGAAAAGAGTAACCTTCAACTGGGGGGGGGAGAAACAAGAAGTTGCATCGAAACACTAAAACATGCCCTATGCAGTGCACTAATCTTGTCTCTTCCAGAAGGGACATAAGATTTTGTTGTGTACTGTGATGCATCAAATCAAGGGTTGGGTTGTGTCCTTGTGCAACGAGGAAAGGTCATTGTATATGCCTCAAGACAACTTTAAACACACGAGGTCAACCACACTACTCACGACCTCGAACTAGGAGCAATGGTGTTCGCCCTGAAAATCTGGAGACACTACATCTACGACACGAAATGCACGAACTTCACTGATCATAAGAGTCTTCAGCACATCATCAACCAGAAAGAGCTCAACATGTGGCAAAGATGATGGGTAGAACTACTGAATGATTACAAATGCGAGATTCGTTATCATCCAGGAAAATCCAATGTAGTCGCAGATGCACTAAGCATGAATGAATACTCGGGACATTGAGTAAAGTCATTAACCATGACAATCGAGTCACACCTGTCCACACAAATCAAAGAGGCTCAAATGGAAGCCCTGAAACTAGAGAACATGACTGGTGAAACACTAAGATGGATGGATAAGAACCTAGAAATCAAGAGTGACGAAATTTGTTATCTCAATCGGATATGGACACCCAAGTATGGTGGATTCAGAGACGTTATCATGAATGAAACACACAAGACTCAATACTCCGTCCATCCAGGTTCGGACAAGATGTATCTGGAACTCAAGAAACTTTATTGGTGGCCAAACATGAAAGCTAAAATCGCTACCTATGTGGGCAAGTGTCTGACTTGCGCCAAGGTCAAGGTAGAATACTAGAAGCCCCCGGGTTTGCTACAACAACCGATAATACCCGAGTGGAAGTGGGAGCGGATAACTATGGATTTCATAA